AGAGCACCAGGCAGCATTAACCTCCAAGCAGTAGGTCCAAAGGGCTCCTTAAAGATTTCTTAGGGGTCTCAAAACATAAGCCACAAGACAATTGAATTAGTGGATCCATTACAGACAATGCCCAATCTTCAGGAGAAGCCCAGCTAAACCCAGGAGCTATGGAGTAAGTCTAAACCAATGTTTAGAACTTTTCTGCTATTTCATTGCTCTTCTAGGCCTTAACAATTCTTGGGCTGACTCAAAACTGACCTTTTTCAGCACTCAGAGGCCAAAATGAGATTCCAGCTAATAAGTACATGATTCACCAAATGCTGGGATCCTCCATTGCTTGGAGAATTACAAAATTAGGAAACATCAATAGCTCTATGCAAAACAGTAAGGACAGAAAACAAAAATTAGAAAAAAAAATCAAAATAAGAGAATTATTTTCAGCCGTATATATTTTTTTCAGCCATATATATATATTTATATATATAAATATATATTTTCATTATATATCAATAATGCAGTCTCAATCAAAATGTATTTAAATGTATGCAGACACAATGAAAAGATATAGAAAACGTTTAGAGAGATCATCACTTTCACCATTAGGTAATTGGTGTTCCAGTGAATATCTCTGGACAGGTATCTGGACATCTAATTTCCTTTACTAAGCTATGTTATCAAAAATTCTTAAGCACAGTGTAATTTAATACTTGTTGATTAAAATTAATCCAATGGAATAGAATTGAATTGCCTAAGACTGCTGCGGCAGTGTGTACAGCTAGCATTACAGCTCTTGTCACAGCTCTTATTCGTTTGACCGAGTGGCACACGAAGAGTCCGAGAACAGCCTTTATTCTTCTACAGCAGGCTCAGCACACCTAGTGTTACGGCTCTCTTCGCATCTTCCAATCTTTTGCCCCTTCCTGCCCTTCTGCCTCTTTTATACCCTTGGTAGGGCTCAAGAAGCATCCAATCAACTACAAGCTTTAACATCCAATCAGCAACAAGCTTTAACATCCAATCAACAACAAGCTTTAACGTCCAGTCAAAAATAGTGGGATTCAAAAATTACCCAATCAGGATCACGCAAACAACGTGGCCAGAAACAGGCAGCGGCATGTGGGCCTGGGGGCATTCCAGCAAGTGGGGTCCCAGGGGCATTCCGAGGTCCCCGGCAGCTCTGTTGGGGGGGTGACCCCAGCAGCGTGCCCTCCAAATGGCCAGGCGCAGCACTGGCCCGCAGAGATGCAGAGCAACGGGGAGGCAGCAAGGGGCCACGTCCCCGTGCCTGCCATTTTCCGCATCAAGACAACACACTTGGAGATTTATCAGCAGAGGTACTTAACCTCGGCTCACATTAGAATCACCTGTGAGGAACACTTCAAAGTACTAATTCCTAATCCCCATCCTTAGATATTCTCATTTATTGATCTGGAACTCCTTAAGGTCTACCTTAAGTTCCTAACTTAGTGGTAAGCAGTCTTCATCATGAATGGTTGCTGAATTCAGAGAAGCTCTGGAATGCCTAGGGATGTTGGACACATTTCTGGACTGGGTAGTCATTGTCAGGAGAGAATCCATCAATTCATACATTGCACAACTTCAAACAGGGCAAGCGGTATAAAGAATCTAGTGTGTCCGTATTGCGGACAGGTCACCATTTATGTGAGCTGGCACAAGAATGCTAGCTAGTCTGTGGAAGTCCGTTTTTAGACGGGTGTTTGCTTTCTGGATGCCCGCGAGACGTGTGTTTGGGTTGTGTGTTTGAGGTGCAGGTGATGTGAAGGGCCTGAAAGTGGATCTTGTAAAGGAACTTGAGAAGGAAGTCTGAGGGTTAATGCTAATTTAAAATGGTACGACATTAATATATGGAGGTGGCCACTCTAAATTTTAGCATGTCTTTTAAAAATGTAAATACGTGGAAAAGGTTTGAACTAAATTCATTGCATATGACAGAGAATTCATAGGACTTGAAGACTGGGGGGCGACTAAATTAGAGAAGAGAAGAAAACCGCTGAGTTCACAGAGAGGCTAGGGGAGAATGGGTAGGTGAGGAGGCTCCTTTGGCTGGTGTTCCCACTCTGTCCTTGGACACAGGCACTGCTGAGGATTGTAAGTTAAAGGCATTTTGGAAATACCTTCCCTACCTCCCTTACCTTTAGGGTTGAAAAAGCAAATGGATCTTAGCCAGAAACAGAGGCAAGATCCTCCCCACTGTGTGCTGCCTCTCCCCCCCCCCCCACCCCCAGGAGCAGTGGCCTGTGTTCTGACTACAGCCACGGATTGGGGAATGTCAGGTAAAGCAGAGAGGTCCCCAACCTTTTTGGCACCAGGGATCAATTTCATGGAAGACAATTTTTCCACGGATGGGGGCCGGGGGGGATGGTTTGGGGATGATTCAAGTTCATTACATCTATTGTGCAGTCAGACCTCTCTACTAATTACAATCTGTATTTGCAGCTGCTCCCCAACACTAGCATCACCCCCACAGCTCCAACTCAGATCATCAGGCATTAGATTCTCAGTTTACATACAGTAGGGATCATGCGCCTATGAGAATCTAATGCCACCACTGAGCTGACGGGAGGCGGAGCTTATGCGGTGATGCAAGAGACGGGGAGCCGCTGTAAATACAGATGAAGCTTCGCTGGCTTGCCCACGGCTCACCTCCTGCTGTGTGGCCCGGTTCTTAACAGGCCACCAACTGGTACCAGTCCCCAGCCCAGGCACTGGGGGCCACAGAGGTAAAGGATGAGAGGAGAGATGCCCACCAGTGATGAGAAGGTCCTGGGTCAAGGATCTGTCCTCAGCTAGACATGAAGCTCCTCAGATGTCAGACTCCTTGGGAGAAGAAACAGGTAGACTGCTCCCGACTAAACTCTCATTGTTCAGAGAGGGCGCAGAGCCACACAGGGGGTGCTTAACCAGAGTCCTTTTCAGCCTCTGCTGCTTTGGGTGAGGAATCATGGACAAACCAGGCCACCAGAGGAAAGTTTCAGATAGAACACCTGGGAATGTTCCCCTTGAGGGAAGGATCATTTCCATGCAAAGGAGATGGGCGCTAAGACTGAGGCCGCCCATTTCAGAGTTTGAGACACAGCCAAATCCAAGTGCCCTCCGCGGGCCGCCATCCGCACTGACTGCCAGATCCAGCACGGCAGAGGCTGCCTCGCGTTACATGGTGGTGTTTAGTGACCATCATCATAGAGCTGACATGGTTAAGTCCTTCTCAGCCTTCGGAATGCATGCATGTCCAATATCTCTTAAAACAGTAATACTGAAAAGCATTGCTATTATTCCCATGTAAGAAACACAGAAGGTGTTTCTGCCAAGGTGCGGAAAGGCAAAGCAACTTTGCTAAGTATTAAAAGGTAGAGCCAGAACTTATCCTTGGTCTTCTGACTCCAAATCCCAGGCTATTTGTATAACGAGGCTAAGTATAATAGTAATATATACCAAGCACCCAGAAATTAGCCCACATCTGATATTCAGATAAATGCTCATCCAAGGGCAGAAGTGGCCTCCGAGGGAGAATTCATGCTGCTCCACGAGCACGCGTGGAGCAGGGAGAGGGGAGTATAACTGAATAGTGATTCCGAGCACAGGTTTTGGAGTCAGTTGTGTACGAGTTTCAAACGTATCAACTGCATTTCCTTCAACAACTCATTTCACTTCTCTAAGCCTCAGTATTCTTACCTAAAAGACAGAAATAATGCTTTACAGAGCTTGAGAATCTAATCCAATCCTGCGTAAAGCTCTGAGCAGGATGCCTGGTGCATAGTTAAGTATCCAAATGTTAGCTCTCTTTTATGGTATGCACACATCCCCAAATACAACCATTAGCGGATGAACCACCGTTAGTTAGCTTCTTCTGTCGTAGATAACTAATGTCCTTGGGGTAGCTTGTTGATTAAACCGTCTCTATTGTCTCAGCCAGAATAAATTTAAAAAGGAACATGAAAGTAGAGGTGCAGAGCGGAAGAGGCACTGGATCAGCAGTAGAGAGAGCTTCGATTTCATGTTTAGCCCCGCTACTAATGTGCTGTGAGACCCTGAACGGGTCAGTCCCCTTCCTGTCACTTTTGACATTTGCGAAACTCGGGGGTCACATGAGACATCTAAGGCCCCCAGTTCAGGACTCTTCACCCTGTGCCCGTCCACAAAGAGGATGCAGAAGGCAAACAGCCTGCAAAATGGTGCTGAACCCCCTACTGGCTCAAGCAGCGCGAACTCTCGCCTCAAATGGCTGGCCTGAGAGTCACAGTCCCTTGGAAAAAAATCCTCTCTCCCTTTTGATGCCACTCTTGCACCTAGGCCAGGACTCAGGGGTCCCCCACCGAACACTGCCCCGAGTCACTCGCTCACAAAGGGGAAGGCACCCCTAGCCAGCGAGGGGGTGAGTCTGGGAAGCTGGGTTCCATCGCCACCAACTGAAAAGCCAGTCCTCCATACACCCGGCCACCCCAAACCTTGGGGCAGGCCACCCCACTTTCAGAGGCACCCTCCTCACAGTCAAATCAGCAACTGCCCTGAAAAGCAAAAAGTCCTTGGTCTCCATTCTCTCCAAAACTCAGCACCTTGGAACCACCACTACCAAATAAATAAATGCCCACGACCTCGGCTCCCTGCTCCAGTGTCTCCATCCTGAAACTTAACTCTGCAATCGGCCCGTCTTGCCTGCCAACGATTGCAACCCTGCTCTCACTGTTTATTGTATCTTGCGGCTGCTATGGATACATTTTCTTTGCTTCAGCCTTCTTTGGTTATTAGTGCTCTTTTCTCTCTTCCCTCCACAATGGACATCCAGACCCCCACCCCCAAAACGTGGGGTCTGATTTCTCCAGTCTGTGACGCCCCATTCCTTTCCCTTCCTCTCCTGACTTGAAACCCCTTTCTGTCTCCCTTTTAAAACTTTTCCTGAGACTCCAAGAGAAGCACACTCGGAGCTTTCGTTTTCGAAAAAGCAAAAAAAAAAAAAAAAAAATGAAGGAAAAAAGACCCACATAACTTACTTTCATCCGGGGGTGCACAGTTTTGGAAAGAAGCAAACAGAGCTATAATCCACTGCGTTTCCCCCAACCCAAAAAGAAGAATTTGTAGCGAAACGGTTCTTTTTCCGCTTTGCCGGTGAAGGAGCCCCAGTGGTAGGCATACATCCACAGGCTGATGCAAGATGCCTTTGAGAGAAACCTCACATTCTGAGGATTCCTGGGAGAGCGCCAGGGATCCCAGCATCCAATATATTGCACATTTGGTTTCAATTAGGAAGGGGGTTGGGGAGGGAAGAAGGAGAGTCACCAATCAGAGCTGTTTTCTGTTTAGAGACTATTTCTTTTGACCCAAGGGACTACGGGCAAAACCAAAAATTAAAACAAAAACCAATCAAAAAAAAAAAAAAAAAATATGTATAACCATAGGACAGACTTAAAGACATAGCTCCCTTCCGCCTTAGCCCCACCCGCATGCACCCCCACCCACTTCCCCTCCATCTGAGACCCGGTCCCCATCCTGTGACTACCCCCCACCTCATTTTTCTTACTTGGCTGAAGCTATAAGCACAACTTAAAGTTTGGAGTTTCTTCCAATTGAAGCTTCCAGGACAGTCGGGTCACACACACATGGAGTTGATCTTTAGTATTTTGGCCACGAAAGCCCAGAGCTGAGCCCTCCCCAGAAGATGTGATTTAATCCCTTCCCCCGCCAAAAAAAACTGGACAGTGCCAGCGTCCTGGATTCCTATTTTCTTTTCCACTCAACTCCCAGTTGGCTGCTGCCCTCTGAGGGTCTGTTGCCGTCCCGGATTCATGCTGCTAAATGAAAACACAAGCATTTACAAGGACTTTCTAAATTATTTTGTAAACATTTTTTTTTTTCCTTCTTTTTTTTTTTCCCCTCCTCCTTTCCGTGGCTGTGGCCAGAGATCATGTGAAAGGGGCAAGTAGGTGACAGGGGAGGAAGACTTGCTGGGCTCTCCGAAGGATAACTAATAATCCTCTCGATGCATGGGGCTCTAGCCTTAACCCTTCAGAGCCTGGGTCATCCTGGCCAACCGCAGGCTGGGCTGCCCCGGAGGTCCTGGTTCACTGTGCACGAGGGGGACGCGGGGCAGACGGGGACTCCCGGGGCAGGAGATCCATGAGGAAGGAAGATGGCAAAGGGGAGGATGAGATGACTCAGCCCACCTTCTCGGAAGGAGACCTCTTTCCTCCAGCTCTTGAGCTGTCACTTACTCTTCTCTGCTCGTCGTTTATCTGGGATTGCACAGCCTCCACGATGAGCAAGAGAGGTGAGCAAACAGGAACGGGAAGCTGGAAAGGGATCATCGAGGGACATGCCCATAGCAAGTTTGGAGCAGGAGAAGCTTCGTAAGGTTATGGGAGGCAGAGAAACCCCTAAATCAGGGTGGCCATAAAATTAAGAGGCAAACTGTCAGTGTTAAGTCCCCCAAAGGCTCATAAGCTCTGTGCTAGTCTGAGAGTCAGAAAGCAGCCTTTGATATCTGCACTTCACACTCTAAGGGGACATGGAGAACACGGCACTCTTCGGGAGAGCAGCCACAGAGATGACTAAAGGTAGCAAACAAGACTTACAAGAAAAAAAACTAGAACAAGGATTATTTCACAAAGAGAAAGGCGATTACAGAGATGAACCTATTAAGAAGACTCGTCAAATATCTTACAGCATCTGCAGTTAGGTCTGAGGGTGACTGAGGCCAGGACATTCAGTTTAATTCAATAAATATGATATGTATTGAGCAGTTATCAGGCACTTTAACCAGGTGCTTGCTGGTCTGGTAACTACGGAGGTCTGGTTATAGAAACATCCCTAGAATGCTTCTCAGATATCTAGGCCTATAGTACTCTACCTCCTTGGTATTAATATCAAGAATGTACCAGCTGTAATCCTAGCACTCTGGGAGGCCGAGGTGGGAGAATTGCTTAAGGTCGGGAGTTTGAAACCAGCCTGAGCAAGAGCGAGACCCTGTCTCTACTAAAAATAGAAACAAATTAATTGGCCAACTAAAAACATATAGAAAAAATTAGCCAGGCAAGGTGGTACATGCCTGTAGTCCCAGCTACTACTCGGGAGGCTGAGGCAGTAGGATTGCTTGAGCCCAGGAGTTTGAGGTTGCTGTGAGTTAGGCTGATGCCATGGCACTCTAGCCCGGACAACGGAAGTGAGACTCTGTCTCAAAAAAAAAAAAAAAAAAAAGAATGTACCAAAAATAATTTCACAGATTTGGTGAGACTACAGGTCAATTGTGGAAAACAGTATAATAGCTTCGTAAAACCAGAACCTCATAAAAGACAGGTACATATCGGTGTAGGTGTGTGTCCTCCTCTTTGTTATTTAAAATGGCTCTATTCCATAGGCATGATTATTTGCTTATCTGGGTATGTGTATATCTAGGATTCCAGTTGAGCCAGTGACATGGACTCCAAAACACAAGACACCTCTAGGTTTGTCTGAGGAAGAATGGACAGCCAAGGCAAGAGTCTGTTTATACATAGACCAAGGTTACTTCTGGGGAAAAACTTGCTAAATGGAGCGAGAACTCAGGGGTAAAAGACAGTCCCAAGTATAACTGAGCTGTGACAAAAGTAAGGAGTAGCTCAAAGAAAAATAACATGTCAATCACTCAAAATATTATGTCTATCACTCAAAATACCATCTCTATCACACGGGCTATGCTCAGCCACAGCCAGGGTCTAATCTTGAACTCCAGGAAGAAGGTACTACCAAGAAATGAGCAAGAAAAAACTGAAAGTGATATTTTAATAAAATATTGGAGAAATATTTCAAGCATTAAGAGGAATCATCGTATTTGAGCATCAGTTTTCCAGGACAGCTCTGGTTGGGTGGGGAGTTCAGCCTTGACAACAGCCATTGCTATAGGAAGTCAGAGTGGGAAAGAAAGAAGATGACAAATGCTACTTCAAAGCTGAAAGGACTAATTCATGGAACACACAGAAGAAATTCCCTAGGAACTCTCAGACCTATCTGATAGAGTTTTGAGCAAGGCTGGAATTCCTTATAATATGGGAACAGATGTGGAGAAATACCATTTTATTACTCTTTTGTGGATAGATTTTACTCCGTGGTTGGTCTGGGTTGGGAAACATGAGTCATTACAATCAGAATCATTTATGTTCCATAGGAGATAATACATCCTAGTTATGAGGACTGTAAATGAATGACTGAGAAACAACATAGAATTCCATTACTGGGATTTTACCAAAAATAGGACAGTTCCATCTGGAATGGTCAAGATGCAGTTGTTAATTAGAAGTAAGGAAATGTGCAAGATGACTTTTCAAGATCTTTTCTGGTCTATAAACCAAGGTTCAAGTAAATATAAGAATTGAAAATTGAAATCACCATAGTATTTCAGTCTCTAAATAGCTAGGAGCAGAGCACATTTGTGATGCCTTAGGAAATAAAATGAAGTATGGGAGTAAAAGGAGTTTAGCTAACTTAGTTTAAGAAACACACACACACACACACACACACACACACACACCTTAAAAGGATATATGGATATTCACAGAAACGAAACTCATGTGGTACATTTAAGCTTCACAAGGAATTAAAACCAGAAATTAACTACCAGTAATCTAGTCAACAGTTTTCTCTTCTCTCCTATCCTCCTCTCTCCTTCTCTTCTTTCTCTTATTTCTTCTCTCTTTCTCTCTCTCATTTATTCCTTTCTCACTTCTCTCTCTCCTCTGCCTATCTCTGCACATCTTTCTTTAACCCATCCTTTTTCAACTATCCAGGCTGTTCTGCTTATTTTCACACATTACTGTAGGTGGTTACCCTAAAATGGTGCCTTAGCTCTCAAACTCCTATCTCTTTACATCAAGTAAACGTGAGAGAATGGTGGATTTTACTAAAGATGAAGAATCTGATTGGTCAAGTGTGTTTCATATATTCATCTTCTACCCCTAAACTGTAGAGGGTGATGGGTCACATGATATGAATCTGGCTCCAAGGGCTCACATTCATAAGAGAGCCAATTCTCAGAAAAGTGTTGTACATTAGAAGACACCTCCAAATTGTGTGCTGCACCAATAGTTAACCAAGCCAGACAATCCCTGGATTTTAAAGAAATTATGCCTCACCAACACAAAGCCAGAAAACATCGCATACACATTTAACTTAAGCACCAATTTTAGAGTCTAATTCTTAAAACAAAATTCCTAGCTGTCGGTTAATCTGTCCGTTATAGACAAATCCATTGACATATATTAATGCGTAAAGGGTTAATATTTTTTTTTTAAAAAAACTCATTATGTAAGAACTCTTGTAAGCAATAGAAACACTCTAGTTTTCCTAAAAGCAGAATAGTCTGAATGTCCAGACAGCTGCACACAGACTTTGCTTTGGTTTCTTCCTGAATTCAGCTCATGATTCCTGAATCTTAACATGCTTAAAGTTAGTTCATGAAGTTGTAGCCACAAAAGCATGGATACTATCATTACGAGTGATCAAAAAATCTTTCAAAGATAATTTTAACTCTAAACACTGTTAGTTTATTTAGTGCTCACAAGAATTTTGTGGGGTGGGTACTATTATTTCCCCGATGTTTGTTTGAGGAAACAAATGCAAAGAGAAGTTAACCTGCCCAAGATCACACCTGGTGCAGCTTGAATGTGTGTGTGTGTGTGTGTGTGTGTGTGTGTTGACAATAAAGTGTTGTGTCCTCATATGGTCAACAAGAACAATTTCAGAGCAGGTAGGAAATAGTTAATTCTTCGTTTTGCAGGGATCAGAGACTTGTTGATATGGAGAATCATCTAAGTCCTTTTCCTTCCCATCCTTTTTTTTCTGGAACCCCTTGATTGATTCTGTCACTGCTCCTTATCATTTCTATCAGAAAGAAACAAGAAATCAAAAGAAGAAAAATTCAAAGCATGGCTAGTGATTCTCCCACGGATGAACTGAAAAGTCGAGTAAAGAGGAAGCTGAGGTTAATGGCCAAAGTAAGATTCTTATTTGCCTGTGTTTTTAACAATGCCACATATAATATTTCACAGTTTAAGGAGCACTCTCACAGACATGACTTCATCTGATCCTCAGACAGCCCCAATATGTACTCAGTGCAGATATTTATATCTTCATTTTACAAATAAGGAAAAGGAAACTCAGGGAATTGGTAATTTATTTGACTTTTTTTTTTTTTTGGTGGTAAATGACAGAATCTGAGTTTGAATCCAGTTCCTGTGATTCACAGGT